GGTGTCCCCTGCCGCTGGCCGGGCTGGTGCCTGTGCTGATCTAGGCCAGGGGTGCAGAGCCCAGGCATAGGCAGCGAGCAGCTGCCAGGGCACTTCCAAACACAGCCACCAGCATCTCCTCCAAGCAGGCATTTAATTAAAACGTGAATAAAAAAAAAGTCTCTGCTTCCACAAGGGTTATTTTGTATGAAAGGGGATGAGCCAGCCCAGGCTCTGGGTGCCCCTGCTCCAGCTGAGTCTGTGCTCCCACCAGGCTGGTGCCCTGGCTGTCTGTACACACGGGGCCCCCCGCGAGGCGCTCCAGGGTTGTTCCTGATGTTGCCTCCAGCGCCGCTCTCCCCCGCATGTCGGTGATGGGCATCTCCATAGAGCGCTCCCAGTGCCATGCTGAGTCGGCACCTCACCGCAGACTGCTGCTGCTGCTGGCTTGAGAGCTGCCCACGCCTGGGTGCTCGGGGCTGTGCCGGTTCTGAGTCAGACAGACAACCCCATGAGGATTCACAGTGGCAATAAGGGACTGAGTCAGGACAGGATTCCTCAGCCCGGGGACCAATCGGAGCAGGGGGAATGAAGACTCAGAACTTTTGGCCTGTTTTACACTGCCCCAAAGAGCATTCCCAGGCGTCCCCCCAACAGCATGTGGTTTCAACAGGACACATCAGTTTCCTACCAAACCCCCAGATATTTCAATCTGCAAATGCAGCCCTGGTGTCTCATCAGAGCTGTAATACAGATGCTTAGGGTCTCCGTTCCTCTCTGGGCCAGGCTCCAGCGCCCACGGTGCACCATGGTCAGGGACTCTCATGGAGTGGGAAAGTGGCATGTCCTGGGAGATATAGACAAACCAGGGAGCCTGTTCTATGCAAGAGGGGGCATGAGGCAACTGAATTGTAGCATCCAAAGCCACCACACCAGCATTTCTTAAATCAAAAATCTTTTGAGTCTTGAATTCTAAATAACTACACCCCTCCCATTCTCCACTCCCCAGGAAGGGGTCACACACAGACACAGGGCCCTACCCTCTTGAAGGAGTCTCTCTCTCTCTCTCTCCCTCCCCCCTCCCTCTTTTTGGGTGGGAAAAAGCTTATTTTTCTGCCTGCCTACTCTAGGTGGGACCAGCAGCATCCAAACCCCTACTCTCCAGCGCCTTTATATTAAGACAGAGACTCCAGAGCATGGAGGTAACCAGGAGAGGATCAGATACATTTCAAGCCCTCTCCCTCCCCGGTAAGGTAAGCATGGACTGGGAGCACTGACTGCTGATGGGGAAGTGAACCACAAGTTCTTCCCCCTTGTAGCCACTTACCTTCTTCTTTTTCTTCTCCTTCTTCTTCCTCTTCCTCTCAGGATCCTCCTCCTTTTTCTTCTTCTTCTTCTTGTGGTCGGAATCTGAAGGGGTTTCTGCAAAGAAAGCCAAGATCTCCCTTTGAGTGAGCCCCTCTTGGAGATGGCAGATGGTTGACCTATGATTTTACTGGGGTCTGGAAAAGATTTGGTGGGTGCTGCTCTCTCTCAGAGAGGGGACTGATAGATTTGTGGAAGGCAGTTTTTACCTGGGGGAACAGGATCCTGTGTGCGGCTCTGCTTGTGCTTGTGCTTATTTTTCTTCTTGGGTGGCTGGATGTGCATCAAGCGACACTGTTCTGGCAACTGGGAGAGAAAAATTAGGGTAGATGGGGAGGGAGATGATCTTTGGAGAAATTCTCCCACCACTACATGTTCCCTGGTTAATCAGCAAGGATTTTTTGTTTTCTCCACAGACCCCTCTGCCTCATCTCACCCAGCCCAAACAGAGTCCCCCCTGTCCTGACTCCCACCCCAAAACTACCCTCCCACTTCCTATAGCTTAGGAGGAAGCTCACCGGGCCGGTATGCAGGCGGAAGCCAGTCAGCATGGTGCCAGTGATGGGGTTAAAGGAGCTGCTGCAGATGGGTGGTTTCTCGATAAGGGAGCGCAGGCTGCTGTTGTCGTGCGAACCTGGTAAATCGATCATTCCCGGCAGGTCAGGCAGGAAGTTGCTCAGCTTCTCCTTCACCTTCTTGCCGCAGAACTTGTTGTAGGAGTGTTCCAGGTTGTAGTGTGTGATCAGGTTCGTGCTGCCCGTCAATTCCATGTTGCCTGAGCAGGGACCAGGGGAGCCAGGTTGTACATTTGCTCAAGGCCATGTGGTTGGGCACTCTGTGAACAGGCCTGGGAGCCTGGGCTCCTGACTTCCCCTCCCAGCTCTGCCACTGGCTTCCCCTCTGGCCTTCAGCATATTAGTTTAAGCTGTCTCCAGCAGCAAGCTTGGGCTGGCCCTTGCCTGGCTCAGCACAGTGGGGAGACTTCATTACTATCTGCAGTGCACTGGGCTACAGGTGCAGCAGACCTCAGCCTGGCCTGCTCAAGAGCAGGGGAAGAGCCCCTCCGCTAACCAGAGCGGCTGGGACACGGCAGCGCCGCACCACGGGCTGGAGACTCACGTGGCTGCCTGGCAACAGGGGAAGGAAACGCCCTTCAGAGCTGGACTGTGGCCCAGCCCCTGGGGATCCTACATGAGCAGCCAGGGCCTTGGGTGGGAGCAGCCTCCACCATCCCACAGACGTCTGCCTCCCTCCCCTGGGCACCCCCCACCGCCCTGGGGCAGCCCTGCTCCTGGAATGGCTCATGCGGACCCAGTTGGGAGCAGGCTCTCTCTCCCCTCCCCCCCCGTCTCCATTGGCTACGA